TAGTTACGCTTACTGAACCTATATTTCCCCTTTGACTTTGGTGGTATTTTCTATCTTGAAATTACTTATGATTAGTTTAGTAAGCGTGGGTGAGTTTAACCTGTGTTAACCATTCAGATTTAGGCTTCACAAAATATCAAGTAACTTATACTGATCCTACGAGTATGTTGTTCTCATCACGATCGATTCCTTTGTTCTATTGCATTACTTCATAAAATGCTGTCACAGCGGTGTGATTGTGAAAACTTTTTGTAATGATATAATTATTTTTTATTAATGTCCTCCAGACCGAATTTTCGGTTACCGCGGCCAGTCTCAACAGGGACTAGCCATCTGCTCAGGACAGGATTATAGTGCACAAGTGTATACACAGGTGCACTCTCTATTCTCTTATTCTCAAAGTTGGATACATTATGTATACTCTGAGAATTGGACGGTAAACCGACACGACCGGAGACAGATCAGGCGCAGGACCAACGGCTTCACGTGTTTTCAATATAGCAAATTTAACTATATTTTTAATTGTATGTATTTTACACGATATTTTTGCCAATTTGGAACCGATTTTGGTGACTCTTTTTTTAAAGTTTTTAAAAAGTGACCTCGCGTAAATCCGTCCCATAAAATAAAAGGATGTGTCTGAAGTTTGAAGAGCATCTCTCGCCCTCCCTCAATTGCGTGCATTATACCTGTCACCACTAGTCCCTACACCACTACTACGCGAGGTAACTTTTTAAAAATTTTAATATAATGTATTTCCGTAAAGTAGTGCCTGATTCTATTAATGACTCCGTTTTAATAGTTATTTGGAGAAAAAATTTCATCTCTAAGGAGAATCAAGTTTCTAATGGAAATGTTTAGTCGAAATTGAGATTGTTATATTCCTTAGTATATTCAAAAAGGTAAACAATAATAAATAAATAAAGAAAACGATGGTTAGTTTTTAAAAAATTAACGTCTAATAGAGAGTAAAAGCTGACTGCAAAAACCAAAAACTGCAAAGACTAAAAGGAATATAATATTTTTCAGGGCGTTAATTCGTTCATACCATGTCCCTTAGCACCGACTTCATTATTTATTAAAAGTAAAGTTTTAGAAAGAAACCATTATTTTTAAAGCCAAAAAATTGTATAAATTCTTTAAGTAGCTTAATGTGTGTGATATTTCTTCTCCTACTGTATTATTACGGATAAGTAAAATGGAAGGTAAGCAATATAATTTACGCAGGAAGCTGGATTATTTTGAATGTAATTTTCTCATCCGCTCCCTTGGTAATAACATTATACTCGCTGTCTTTTTGTAGAAACGCGTAAGAGAGATAAGCTGCGAATGAAATTAACCGTAAAGAGAATATTCTTTATTTGTTATACATTAGTTTTAAAACATGAATTATGACAAAAGTAAATTATTCCAAAAGGATGATTTTCTTACTCCATTAGAGGAGTGGTAACGATGTTTTCACGGCCACTCGCCACTTATCCCTTGTTATTGTCGTAATATCTGTGTTTTTGTTGTGTGTTTTTAGTAGTCTTATTTGTGGAATGCAAACATAACTTAATTCAATAATTTAAAATTAAAAATTTTGTACAGCCGTCTTCAATATAAGTTATTAAGAATAACTCAAAACTATTGGCCTGACCTTGATCAAATTCATACGAGACTACATGCGAAGTACCAGCTTTCAAATAAAAAAAGAATCATGGAAATCGGTTCACCCAGTAAAAAGTTATGAGGTAACACATTTAAAAAACATACAGTCGAATTGAGTTTTTGGAAGTCGGCAGAAAAATAAAATCAAATTATTATGTAAATTCGGACTTGACATCACAAATATAGGATACTTCTGGCCTGTAGAACTTTAATTGCATTGAGTTCAAATCCACCATTCGTTAAATCTCATGAATAACTTCTATTATAAGAATTTAAAACTTAGTTGATAAGTTAACGGAAACTTAGGGTAACACAAAATGTTAATATCAAAATATATGCCTAGCCATAACCCAAAATTTTTAAAAAAATAGGATTGTGGCTAGGCATATATTTTCATAATTAATTTAATCGGAACTTTGTAAAAAATTCTTACACATTTAAAGCGATATAAATAGTCAGGTACATTTGCCAGGTAACGTCTAACGTAAACACCATAATGTTATTACGAGTATATTAAGTTTTTACAAGCTATTTAGGTTAAAAAACCCTCTATCATACATACACACGTACGGGCGAGAAACATAGCTCTACTTCTGGGTAAACAAAGAAGTATAACTTCGCCTCCAGGTCCTTCAAAAGAGTTATTGCCAAGGCAAAGTCAGAGCACATAGGCAGAATTGGCGAGAAACTAGTTCGCCTTCCTTAGGGAACCCGTGTATTCTGGTTTCTCGCCAAGGCTGTCCAAGGGAATTTCTGTAAGCCATCACTACCATTTCTGCACAGGGAGGACGACCCACTGGCCCATGACGCAAAAGACAAAGCTGACCTTTTAGGCTCCCTTTTTGCATCCAACTCGACTCTTGATGACGGGGGGAAAACACCGCCGACCATCCCGCGGTGTGAGTGCTCCATGCCGGATGTGCTGTTCTCACAGCGCTCGGTTCGCAAAGCACTTCTCTCCCTGGACATCCAGAAGTCGAGTGGGCCTGACGGAATCCCCCCAATTGTGCTTAGGACGTGTGCTCCGGAGTTGGCACCGGTCCTAACGCGTCTTTTCCGGTACTCCTACTCCCAAGGCGTAGTCCCGAATTCATGGAAGACAGCTTTTGTCCACCCAATCCCCATAAAAGGCGACCGCTCAGACCCGTCCAACTATAGGCCTATCGCGATCACCTCCTTGTTCTCCAAAATAATGGAATCCATTATTAACAGCCAGCTCATCCGGTACCTTGAGGATCATTAGCTGATTAGTGACCACCAATACGGTTTTCGTCGGGGTCGATCAGCTGGTGATCTTCTGGTCTACTTAACTCATAGATGGGCGGAGGCAGTAGAGTCCAAGGGGGAGGCGTTGGCCGTTAGTCTGGACATTGCGAAGGCCTTCGATCGGGTTTGGCACAAAGCGCTTCTTTCGAAGCTCCCTTCCTATGGGCTTCCCGAGAAATTGTGCAAATGGATCACCAGTTTCCTTGCAGATCGGAGCATCAAGGTCGTTGTAGACGGTGCATGTTCTGACTACAAGCCTATTAACGCTGGTGTTCCACAAGGCTGTGTGCTATCACCAACGCTGTTTCTTCTGCATATCAATGATATGTTGCTTACTGGTAACATTCATTGCTATGCGGATGACAGCACTGGTGATGCTCTATACACCGGCCGTGCCAATATTTCTCGGGAAAACGTCGCCGAGTACCGGAACAAACTTGTGTCTGAAGTCGAGTCTTTGCTGAACAAAGTCTCGGATTGGGGGCGACTAAATCTAGTCCACTTTAATCCTCAGAAGACACAAGTTTGCGCGTTTACAGCTAAAAAGAACCCCTGTCGTATCTCCTCAGTTTCAAGGCACTCTCCTTCTTGCCTCAGCCAGTATCGGTATCCTCGGAGTCGACATATCGAGTGACGTGCAATTTCGTGGTCACTTGGAAGAGAAGGCCAAATTGGCCTCTAAAAAGCTTGGCGTGCTCAGCAGAGCGTGACAGTATTTCATGCCGGCACACCGCCTGCAACTTTACAAGGCGCAGGGTCGGCCTCACATGGAATACTGTTCCCATCTCTGGGCAGGGGCACCCCAGTGCCAGCTCCTTCCACTTGACCGCATCCAGCGCAGAGCGACTCGAATCGTCGACGACCGAGCCCTTTCCGATCGGCTCGATTCATTGGCACTGCGAAGAGATGTTGCATCCCTTTGCATTTTCTTTCGCATCTACCATGGGGAGTGCTCTGAGGAATTGTTCGGATTAATCCCAGCCGCCAAATTTCACGAACGCATATCGCGGCAGAATTCCCGATACCATCCACACCATCTGAATGATTGGCGGTCCACCACTGTGCGATTTAGAAGATGTTTTCTTCCTCGCACGACTTCCTTGTGGAATCGATTACCATCAGCGATTTTTCCGGACCGATACGACTTAGGGACCTTCAAGAAAAGAGCGTACTTCTTTTTAAAAGGCCGGCAACGCATCTGCAATTCCCTCCCTGGTGTTGCAGTTGTTCATGGGCGGCGGTAGTCACTTACCATCAGGTGAGCCGCATGCTCGTTTGCCCCCTCTCCTATAAAAAAAAACAGGTAAAAAAATAACAAAATACTACTTTTTTATAGAATAGGGTGAAAAACGAGCATACAGTCCACTTGAACGCCTCTTTTCCAGTAAAAAGTGTCTCCGGATCTCTACACTCACCATATGAAACGCAGCATTGTTAAGCTGCTATTTTACTTGCGATCGCATTCTGTGACAGCGTGGTATTTCTCCGGTCGAGCACACCCATTCCTGGTACAACTATACTACTACTACTGCAGCATGGCTCTACCACGTATACTGCGGCTACTGTTATAATACGTCAATTGAATGGACTACAATTTATCTCATCATTATTACAGTCCATCTGAAGTATCAAGTCCACTGTTCAACACAGGCCATTTAATGGAATGCTATAATGCACGGTCTCAAGTAAGGAAATCCTGTATCCATCGACTTCCTGCATGTCTTACCAGGTCGTCACAATCTAGAGTGTCTGACGTCAATCTGGTGGGTGCGCCCTATATTTTGTTTACCAGTACGAGGCTTCCACTCGAGAACTCTTCATCCCAATCGGTTATCGATTCTTCGAACTGTAAGGCAGGCCCATTGCCACTTAAGCTTTTTGATCCGTTGACCTATGACTTTTACTCTGGTTCTACTGCGGATACTTTCATAACGAAGTCTATATTAAAAAATTTGAAAAGATCTTGTTTTAAATGTATTTTTGTATGTTTTGTTACAGATATATCAAGTTTCAAGTCAAAATTGAGAGTTAAGAGAAATCAATACTCAATATTGACATAGGATGATACTGGTATAAAAATCAACATGATACATAGAACTTCATCATCCAGGCGACGCAGAGCATCCAGAAGTGCTGCTACTTCTCCACAAACTAGGTCTCCAAGACCATCAGCACAACCCTCAAGGAGAGCATCGCTGGCTACTACAGAGACTGATGATGAAACAGAACCAATCCCTCAAAGAAGTCCGAGAGCTAGCTTAGCTCCTGACGCTGCTTTAGATTTGTATCATCGGAGTCCAAGACATTCATTGGTACCCGAAACAAGATCTGCACGCAATTCCATTGTACCGGATACAACACCACAAATAAGAAATAGTCTCACACCTACTAGAAATAACTTAGGAGTTGATTTAGCTTATGGTTCCAGGTTAAGCCTTAACCCTCAGGATTTTAATAGAAGTCCAAGAAATAGTATTACGCCTGATGTTACAGCAAGGAGTCCCCGACGTAGTTTGGTGCCAGATGGGACATCATGGAACCAGCCAAGAAACTCCCTCGTTCCTGATGTAGGTAGAAGTCCTAGGCACTCAGTTGCAAGCATTCAAATTGATCCGGCACGACACCAAAAAGAACTAGGTCCCAGTCCTAGGACAAGTCCAAGAGGCAGTATAGCACCTGATACCTCGTTGAAAAACACCGAGTGTCCCGATTACGTTAGAACACCTCGGGGCTCTTTGATTCCAGATTCTCAAAGAAGCCCCAGAGGTAGTATAGCACCTTCGGAAAGAAGTGCAAGAGGAAGCCTGGTGGCAGGAGAGTTAGATGCTGCGAAGATTAGTCCCAGAGGCAGTCTTACTTTGACCTTTCAAGAGCCTTTGGTGTCAAGGGAAAGGAGGGCAAGTGAGGAAAGTCAAAGTGCTGGTAAATATTTGAACACTCTTTCGCAGTTACATAACCTTGCTCAATAAATCGATTTTGCATGAATTAGGAGGTTATGAAACTATATAGCTCGCTATTTTTTATTTTTAAGAGAATATACTTGCGTAAAACTTAATAAAATATGTAAATTATAGAAGAACCTTTACTTTCAGTCTTGTAAACTTATAATAACATAAAAATAAATGTTATTTTCTAACATTTTGTTGTTAAAGTAATATCAATCTATACATAGACTACTGCGTGGGAAAGGCCTTTTTCCTTCATTATATATTAAACTCAATTTACTTGTAGGTACAAGAGGTCGAAGTGTTTCACCTTATAGAGCATCTTTAACCGGTCGACAAAGTGGCACTGGTGCTCTTTCTGAAACCGGTTCTAGAAGAGCTTCAAGTTCCGTAAGTCAAGTAAGTTTATGTTTTATTATGTATACAACATGTAACAAAACCTCTGTGATTCCCGTTAAGTGCGTTATCAGAATCAGTATTCAAACGTAAAGAAATAACTTTTTTTTCAAAAAACTTGAACATTAAAAAATAATTTTAATTTAAAATATATAATTTGCTATTTTTATGTGGTTTTATTACCTCCGCATTATCCGGAGAATAAGTGGATTGTGAAAGACCCCCTTCACCGATGCTCGTGCCAGTTAGAGGTAATAAAACCACATACAATTTGCAAATGGTTTTTTTTAATTAAACGATTTTTTTAATGTTCATGTTTTTTTGAAAAGAAGTTATTTCTTTACGTTTGAATACTGACTCTGATAACGCACTTAAAGTGAACCACAGGGTTTTTCTTACACGTTTTATAAGAGGCGGCAAACGATCGTGGGTCTCCCTGATACTAAATGACTATGGCTGCCTATGTACAACTTTTTTTTTATAGGATAAGGGTGACAAACGAGCACACAGTCCACCTGATGGTGAGTGGTTGCTGCGGCCCATAGACATCGACATCTATCCTCTGTTACAAATCAAAATGTCACCCGTGAGGACTAAGATGGAATGCCTCATTTCCAGTAAAAAGGGCCTCCGGCCACCTGCACTCACCAAGCGAAACGCAGAGGTAAACCTCTACTTCACGCTGGTTTTCTGTGAGGTTCCGGTTCGAGCCGGCCCATTCGTGCGACAGCAAAAGCTGCCACGTGGCTCTACCACTGTTAAAAAAACTAAACTGCAACACAGGAGGAATTGCCTGCAATATGTTTATTACACACTGTTGCAGTATATTTCGCACATGGTAGCGCCATGCTGCTGCTATATAATGTTTGTAGAACGAATAGGGCGGCTTGACCAGGAAAGGATTACGCTCTCACAGAATACCAAGGTAAAATTAGGGTAGAGAACTGGATAGTGTTATTACTGGTAACGAGGTATTTCATCTTAATCCTCAGTGGTGAAAACTTATATGCATTTTTTTTTCTTAATTGAGGAGAGATGTACATGTTATTGGTCACAGTATCCACTTACCAACAGTTATTGCCATTGTTATTTTATTTTAGTATTTTTTTTTGTTATTCAAATGTGCTTTGAATTTATAACAATCATTGGATGTAAGATGTTATATTAAGATGATATTAATTTCGCAGGTATCTGGCGATGAGCAAAAGCGACTATGCGGCGAGCAAGCAAAGTACACCGAACGCAGCTTGGGATTGGGAGTGGGCTTAACAACTTATGGCTCTGTTGCTTATCAGCTAAAAGATGCAAACATGGAAGCGTCGAGTACCGTAGACTTCGTGTGCAGAGCCGCTAAAATAATGAATAGAACTAGTTAGTTCGTTTGTAATTTTAGTTTAATCAATATTAGATAATTTTCACGTTGTGTTTATGAGTGTTTTGGATACGCCTAGTGTGGATATGGAGACGTTCATTTGTTACGTGAGCACAAAATAGAGGGACGGGAATCACATTTAAAGAGTGGAGTGTTCAATGAAAATCTTACGTCGCCTTCTTATTTCCGAGAAAATACATTATTTGAACAGTTAATATTTTGTTTTACAAAATCAATCCCGGGCATAGACAATATTATCCTGTGTAATTATCCTAGGGGTGTCGTAAAACGCTACAGAAGGTCTTTGTAGTAATAGTGCTTTGTAAGTCGATTAAATAGGGTGATGTAATTTCCCAAATACAAAGCTCTTTTTCACACCATAAATTTTAAAAATCGGATACCATTTAAAATAATTTGTTGTTTCAGTTCTGATGACAGTTTTTCTAGCATGTCTTTCCACGTTGCCAGTTATAATGTTGATAATGGGTAAGTGAATTTGATTTTTACTCGATTCTGAATGAATAAAAAAAAATAACTGTACTGCTAACTTAAATAATATTCAAATTCATGTTTTCACAATAAAGAATTTAAAAGTAATGTTAGTTATGCTGTTATACTAGCACTATGTTAAAGCGAATACCCGCTTTACCGGGTGATGTCCACACCCAACCGCGGATTTTAGCCGTGGAGCTGATGAAGCAGAGGAAGAATATATAATTTAACGTTTAATAATTATAAAATCCATTAAAAGAAACGAATTTTACGGATTTTATCGCGTTTAATTTTAACTTTTTAATTCCCGACGTATCGAATGCTTTACAGCACCCATGGTCACTTAGTTAGCCCGGCTAACTAAGTGACCATGGGTGCTAACCAGGATAAAATTAAACGCGATAAAATCCGTAAAATTAGTTTCGTTTAATCTGTAGTATTCGCGTAAATATAAGAAATCATTGTACAAAATCAAGTCTTTTTATACTCAAAGGTGTGCAATATATACGCGACTGCCCTGCCGAGCCACGGATTCCAGTGTACATGATAGTCGGTGGAGCAGCAGGCGGGGCCGGTATATGTTGGTTGTTGTGGGCTCAGTTGGCGAGCAGAACTTCAAACTCCTCAGCTAGTGTGCCTGAGAGAGTACTCGCTTATACACTGACCGTTTTTCTAATGGGATGGTAAGTAAATATTTTTTATAGGATAGGGTGACAAACGAGCACACAGTCCAGGGTCTCCGGTTCTCTGCACTAACCATACGAAACACAGCAGTGTTAAACTGCTATTTTACGCTGGTATTCTGTGAGAGCATGGTCCGTCCCCAGTCGAGCCGACCCATTCGTGCTACAACTATACTACTAATATAGCTGCAGCATGGCTCTACCTCGTGCAAAACTACTTCATCCTTTACCATTATAGTCTATCCCGACTATATAAAAAGTCCCGCTGGGTTTCTTGCAGGTTCTTCCCAGAACAGACGTTTTTTTCCGAACCAGTGGCAAAACTTAAATGACTTTCAATAAGTACTTTTTCTAATCTTAAATCGAATAAAATGATTTTATTCTATTCTATCAAAAGGCCACTGCTGAACGTGGGCGATATATTGCCTCATAGTGAAGATATTTGGTACAATTGTCATGCTTGGTAGGTGGGTTGACAATCGCAATATTTTTTTTATTTTTATAAGGAAAACGCTGCTGCCCATCTCCTGGTCTGTTTCCCTCTGTCGTCTCTAACGACACACACGGAACGATGTGCGGTTGTGGATATTCTTACATCGCCACTACTAGGTTAAATTGAATACTTATTAATTGAGTCACAAATTTTTAGCGTTCCACCCGACAAAGCCAATATCTTATTACGATATCACAATGACACATAAACAACTCGTCAATGCAAATTAATGGCAATAGAAGTTAATTTAATCACTCTAAAACTCCTGAGACGTCTCGTTGTCACGTAAAAATGACTGATAACTATTTATTTAAATTAGTTCCTATTTTAAAATTTAAAAAAATGTTATTGACCTTACTCTTAATAATTGATAATGGTTCATTTAAAAAAAATGTTAATAATCTTATCTACCATGCCTTTCTTTACCTATGTCATTTTTTAAAGGATAGAGACACAGAGAGATAGATAGATAGAGAAACTTACTTTGAATTTGAGTATTTCTTAAACTGACGTTGATTTTTATGAGTGAGGTCTATGTTTATATAAACCTAAAAATTGCAATAATTCAGGTTTGCGTTCGGGAACTATTGGACGTTGGGCATTCTGTGGCCAGACTATGCACCAACGCTATTCGAGCCGAACCAGTGGTGCCACAGAACCCTATACGTGTTCGCAATCACGCAACTTGGTGTTGTGTGGGGAGTCATAGCGTTAATACTATTGCTGTTTTTGGCTCTTGTTGTTTGTCAAGTAAGTCGAATAATTTATTATTATTATTTTATAAATATGAGCATATATTATTATATAAGTGATAGGGGCCTAATGACAGGGTTCGGACCGCAAACCCAAAAGGTCGTGGGTTAAAATCCGCCATTCGAATACCGTCACGACTCCTAACACAATCAATTTGAGCTTACCAGGAGTGGTTAATCGGAATATTAGTAAAGTTAATAGCATTGCTAGTGTTTCAAAATATATATAACTCAGATTAGAAATATATATAACTTTTTTATAGGAGAGGGGTCAAACGAGCATGCGGCTCACCTGATGGTAAGTGAATACCATGAACAACCGCAACACCAGGGGAATTGCAGATGCGTTGCCGGCCTTTTAAAAAGGAGTAGGCTCTTTTCTTGAAGGTCCCTAAGTCGTATCGGTCCGGAAAAATCGCTGGTGGTAATCGATTCCACAAGGAAGTTGTGCGAGGAAGAAAACATCTTCAAAATTACACAGTGGTGTACCGCCAATCATCCAGGTGGTATGGTTTGTATCGCAACTTATGTCGCGATGTGCGATGGTGAAATTGAGCGGCTGGAATTTAAACGATCTAAATATATAACATAATATAATATAACGACCTAAAAATGGGAAGAATTTTAAACAGTTTGTATATACAAACAAATTTAACGTTATTCACCAATTAAAGGGTTGAAAGCGTTGCAGTAATAATCTTAAATCGTTTGCCTGTTAAGTATATTTGCCGTTTCCCCTCACTTTAACGAGATCATTTAAATTGAATTTACTCTTCAGCGAAGGAAATGTCGCGAGAACATCTGTGTGATTCAGTAATGAAAATAAAAATAAAAACTTTCTACTTTGAGAGCGTTCGAAGCTTACATACACGTACTGAAGCAATCATCATTACAGTCCTTCACAAGTCCACTAACTGAAGTTAAATGGTGGACTATCTACTCCATATTGTCCTTAGCTCTTGCTTTGAATTTCATAGTAGGCAACGTAAGTATGATCTTCCGGCAACAGCGAACGTTTTATGTTGTTATTAGTTAACTCATCTTTAACTGTTTGGTCGAATAATCTTCCATCTACGGCGTTCCTTGCAGAATCTGCTACTTACAAATTTGATTTGTCACTCTTGCCGCATTCGTTTTGTCTACGTTTCCGAACCACTGAAGTATTAATTTTGTTAATTCTGGTCGCAACATCTTACAAACCACCCTTTTCACTATTTCTCATTATCATATTCAGAGTCGTCCCTAACATACTTCTTAATGACCGCACTTCGGCAGCATTAATTTTACTCTCACCCTTCTTATACAAAACCACACTTTAAGATTCATCCAATTTTCACTACCACACTTTAAGATACCGTATTAATAAGTATTTCAATAGACAAACAAATCAAGTATAAGCAGTGTTGGAAGAGGAATATTTATGTGGTATTTTGACCAGGTATTCGGCTGCGGCTGGCTCGGGCCCCCGAGATACAAGTAGCAACGGCGCAGTGTAGTGCTCGAGTTGTGGCACAGGAATATAAACAACACAATGGACGTTGCTGGTGCACTGTTGCCATTTACTCAAGTAGTGCGTCCAGAGCTTACTATTCATGTGCAAGAGGTTCTAACGCAGGCCGATCGTGAAGCTATGGACTCTCAGAAACCAAAACAAATACCAGAAATAAAAGAACCCGGTGACAGAAGTGATGAAGAAACAAAAAAGAGCCCAGTAAAATCTAAAGGTGTAAAAGAGTGCGTAAAAGTAGAAGTAAAAAACGGTAGGAAAGGTAGTCCGGCCTGATGGTTATTGGTCTCACTACCGCCGCACGGCAAAAAGCACGTACATTTTGAAACAACAGATAAAGTATACTATTTTTGAGTATAACTAATGTTTTCATCTATGAGTTTAAAGTAGTGGCAGTGCGAAAGCGCGTATCTGTAGCCAATTGGCTGTTAGTGCTTTTTTGATAGCCCGTGCTCAAATTTCATCTTTTTTTAAATATTATTTAGACATGAATAAACTTATCTTATTACATGTGATAAAATTGTAGGTAAATTGACAAAGTATTGGCTATGTACGGCATTTTTTGAAATATAATATTACTAAATTTAGATTATGACATTATATTGTAAACAACGAATATTGTATAGAATCGAGGACTTTAAGTCGAAAATGAGCATAGAATTAATATATCCAATATAAAATATGTAAAATATCAAAAATGATTTACATATCTAGAATATTACATATGATGTAAAGTGTAGCATTAATCATCATAGCTGTATTAGAATTACTATGTGTTTAAAAATGTATATGTCAGAATGTATATTTATGTTTTATCACCACTTGAAATATGATTTCTCGTCTTCGTATTTTAAGATACAAGTGGAAATAATCCACAAAACACAGCATGGAAAAGGCTTTAAGAGAAAATTTATTGAATACAAGATATTTTTGTGACCCAGAAGGGTGTTGTTTTAAGTAGTACTCGTATTTTGGTGTGCTTTTTAGATGCAGCATAAAATAACGTGTCGAGATTCCAGTGGTAGTTTTATTTTATTGTTCATATATTTCAGTTACTTAGTTAACTTTATCTACTTTGCTACATGCAAAATCTTAAACTATACACTTTTATTGGTTAACTTAATGGATCTTTCTTGTTTTGTTTTTAACAACCCTTTCTATTTTTAATAGTGTTATGATATTTTGAGTTATGAGACGAGATAATTTTTTCATTCATATATTTATACAGTCCAACTAAATGAGAAAACTGTATTAATACCCTATGAGAATAATGGTATAAAGGTTACAAAAATATCTGGATTTAGCACGGTGACCGTTATGTGGGGTGGTCTGCCGGTTGAGTTGCGAATAGGTTAATCCCAACGACCTTTCTCAAAATATGAGACCGGGACTGGGAACGAATAAACACTTCGGCTTAAATACAAAATGTGGTTGCTTTTCCATACTGCACGCGTTGTCCAACGTTTTTATGTTATTTTTATTATACAATATTATGGCGTTTATTTCAGTGTGTATGTATATCATAATTTTAATATTATATTAATAGATTTAAACCGTGCGAGATTATTGTAAAAATATCCATCATAATGTTCTGTTCTTTACTTAAAAATAGCATTTAATTATTTTAACATTTTCATAAACCATATTTTATATTACGTCTGGTAGGTTGCGCTTCTTCCTCTGAACTTTAACAGCGTGTTTTAATGTTTAATTTAGCACAGTTCGAAGCTCAAATTTGTTGGCACTGACAATATTGTAAATATTATTTGAGTCCATAGTAGAATTCGTAAATAACTTGACTATAGTGCCACCTATCAGATCCTAACATAGAGATAAACCATCGTCTCGACAAAATAAATTAATTGTGTGATTATAACCTTTATGGGTCAAGTCGTTCAAAGATGACGCGATCACTAACAGAATCACTATCAATTATATAAATAAAAGATTATATTTGAAAGATTCTTTAACTGTCACATTCGTCCTTATACTAAAACGTCGTCCCAAAGTAGACCAATTTTGCACAAAGGCTTTTTAAATATTTTTAAAACACTGTCTATTTTATACAATTATAATCTGTACCAATGACAGCAGGGAGTTTATTCTTTCATATGGTGCTGCTTTAAATATTTTAAGGTCTAATATTTATTATATGTACCGCAATGCGAATAGAATTGAATTATTTAATATTAAGGTAATAAAGAGGAGATGCGGTTTTACAAAATCAAATAGCAAGTGAAACTTTTTGCCAAAAGGTTTAATATAATATAATTTTGTACGCAATTTTAGATCTGTACTGGCTTGACAATCGTTGATCAGCCCTTTTCGGTAGGTGGCACGATTAGTTTTACACAAAATTGATTTACGACTTTATACTCTGTAAATAAAAAAAAAGTTAATAACACGACCACTTGTCGACATTTGTCGCGTCCAAATTTCGTTATTTTCTTTTTTGGCACCAAACAAACATGATTTATTATGAAAATAAGTAATTTTAGTCCAAAATTAAAACTGGTAGGATAAAGTGGAATTCTTTAATTTTTCTGGTCCATTTCAACCAACTTTTAATAGCTAGCATAATAATATAAACGAATATGAAATGTCGTCTTGACAAAATACGCAGTCGACGGGTCTTCACCCCTTTGTTGTCGATATTCCAAGCATTAGAACCAAACGGTTTGCTTCGTCTTTTGTAATGCGTACAGCAAAGGAGTGGTATAATTTGCCGGCGTCTATCTTTCCGTCCGAATACAATTTGGGCGTCTACAAGGCAAGAGTGAATAGGCTTTTGTTACGCTAAGACTGTGCGATTTACCATCTAAAGTTGCATCATCACTTACCACCAGGTGGGATTGTGATCAAGCACTGGCTTATGATAAATAAAAAAAACCAATATACTTTGTAAATATCACTCAAATCAGTAAAATCTTTCAGATGTTACACGGTCTAGAGATAAAGATTAAAATTAATTTTGATTGTTAAATTGACGCAACGATCTTTTATTTTTACAGGAACCTTCGGCTAAAAGTTTCACTTTATTTAAGCGATACGTATTAATATTGTAGCATGCATGAAGTAGTGTATATTAGTCTATCACGTAGGAAATGTATAATAGACAACTGGATTTGGGATCATAGATATTCTCATAGATATTCTCATAGTGAGTATACAGAGCATAGCTATATAGATTTAAGGTATTATGATATATACAATTTTTAAGATAATATATACTTAATCATGATATGTGTATAAATATTTCTCCTTATTTAATATTCAAAATTATGATAATTTGTAGTTACTAAGTATTGCTGTGTCGCTTAAGAAATCTATCACCCTAATTCATTCTGTCGGTAAAATAGTAAGAGGCGACAATACGAAACGTGTGAAACAATAATTTGACCTTCGATGTATAACTTTCAATTTATAATAAACTTTTTTTTTAAAAGTAACAGTAAGATTTTCTACTGTATTATGATAAGGGCGAAAATTCAGATCTGGAGAAACTAGTGCGGGATTTGCATCCGCGGCCTTCAGCCCTGTAACTCAATGCAAAGCTACTGTGCCATGGAAATGCCGTCGAAATAGTGTCATAATCTTATTCATACATGTACCGCTCTACGGGCGAAATATCTGGATCTACCTACTAAAGGAGAGGCTAACGTCCGGCAGCTATATACTATAACTATAAACGAACTGTAAGTAAACTAATAATTACTTAGCGGTTTGCATATAATCATGTTTCTGTACCATTTAAAACTGCGGCCTAATATAGTGCCTGCTACTACTTGATAACTTTCTTAATTTGGAATTTATTTCTATTGTACAAATTACCAGGCAAATTAGAGAGCAGTGCCACTCTGCAGCTATTTTGGTTATAGCACGAATGGGTCAGCAAGACCGCTCTTACAGAATACCAGCGTTAAATAGTACCTAAATGCTGTCGTGTTTCGTATGGTGAGTATAGAGAACTGGAGACTCTTTGCACTGGAAACGAGGCATTCCATCTTAGTCCTCAGATGTGACAACGCATCTGCATTTGAATTCTAAATCGAGCATAAATATAGATGTTTATGCGTCACAGCATACACTTACCATCAGGTAGTTTGTGTTTTTACTTATAGAATTAGAGTGACAAACGAGCACACAGTCCACCTGATTGTAAGTGGTTGCTGTGGCCCATAGACATCTACATCTATCTTCGTTTGCGAATTAAAATGCAGATGCGTTGTCAGCCGTGAGGACTAAGATAGAATTCCTCTTTTCCAGTAAAATAGGTCTCCGGTTCTCTACATTTACTATACGAAACACAGCAGCATTAAGCTGCTATTTTACGCTGGTATTCTGTGAGAGTGTGGTCCTTCCCCGGTCGAGCCGACCCATTCGTGCTACTATTAATGTAGCTGAAGCATGGCTCAAAAAACAAGTGTTCGTTTGGCACCCCTATTCTATAAAAAAAAGTAACTGTGCGGAGGAATATTTTCTTTAATTATTAATTTATTAGTCCATTAACAGTAGGTATAGATTGCCTCATAGTAATGCCTCCTAATTTGCCATAGTAACCACGCTTGGCAGGCGGGTAAACGGGTACCAGTTGATAAACTACAGTTCTTAATTATTTTGTTGCCTCTTACCACACCCACTGGATGATATGGGGTGGCGGATTCCTCCTACGTCGTCACTTCACGGTTATAAATATTATACACTACTAACAAGGAATATAGGTTACTAATAATAAAGTAAACACTGCTATCAATGAGTATTGGTTACCAATATATTAAATAAGCACTAGTGCCTATTCAAAATAACAACAATTTCGCGGAAATGCACAAGAACTTCCCATTTAAAAAAAGTTGAGAGTTTTTGAGGTCAAAATTTCTATAGAAATACTGTTTTTATAGAGATTTACGTATAATGTAACGACATTAAAAGAAAATTATCTTCCATATTGCGCAAGCAAATGATGATATTACCTC